ATGTCAATGTTACACATAAGAGCAGATACCAATCATCCACTGCACCCCTACTGTGATAAACCGTCTCTCAATGAGGTTTAAATAGAAACCTGGCCATTTAAGTTTCACAGAGTTGCCTGATCGAATTGCAAAGAATATGTCATACATATTGTAAAGCGCTATGGAATCTGTTGGCGCTATATAAATGGCGATAATAATAATAATAATACTACTACTACATGTGACACTTAGAATTAAGGAAAAGCATGCAACAGCACTCAATGCTTCATTGTGTACAACAAATGCAATATTTCCACAGAAAGAATCAGGAAACCAATGCCAGTCAAATAGTTAACGTTTTGCTGAATTCAATATCTCTTCATATTCCAAGGGTCAGTGGGGATGGGACACGTAAACTAGGAAGTAAGAATCCTGTTTCTGCGTGATCAGGCAGAGGACAATGATCAGCGAACTACAGAGTGAGTGTGACAGCAATAACTTCATCTTTTCTGTTCTACTCATTAACGGGAGTTTAACAATTCCTAAAAGATTACTAAAAGAACATTCCTTAGCTGTCCATTTCTCCTGTCACTACTATACAGACCTGTGTTTAGAACATTTTAGTCAGGAAAGGGTGTAAGAACGGTCATACTATTTGTGATGATGTAATAATGTACTTTTTCCCACGGGTACTAGTAATTTATATAAAGTACAGAAACTGATTAATCACATAAAAGGGGTTCTTCAGTTTCTGTCTTTATATACTGATTTGGGTTATTTTTCTCGTATTAGTCTCTCTTGTCTTCCTGTAATTTAATACTGTCTTTCTGGCTGTCACATACATTTGTTTTGTGCTCCCACTATCATATTTATATCCCACCATTCTCAGTGTCTTGAGATTTGCAAACCCGCTTGCTGGACTTACATTTTCTAACCTCAAATATCAATTATGTTCTTAAGTGTATTCAACCATTTATTACAGATTTTTCTAACCCTTCTCATCTCCAAAAAATGAGGAATCACAAATACTCAGTGCATCAGCTTTAGGGTAATGTCTAGCTAGAAGTTATTACACTTTAATAAAGAACCTTATAAGATTAAAGGTGCACAATATGCTACAGGTTTTTCCATTTCATTTAGCCAAGATTGTGTCCATACAATTCCGTAGAGAGCAAAGAGCACAATCTCCGAATGTAAGGTTTGTCAGATGCACTGCTCATTCTAGTACAAGGTAATTGTGAAGGCCAATTCAGCCCTCAAACCATTGCATTACAGAATGCTGTTAGTATTCTTCCCTTTATAACAGAACGCTGTTACTACTGTTCCTTCTATTACAGAACACTTGTTACTACTGTTTCACATTCATTTATTGAAAGTGAAATGTTGTTTTGAAAAAAAAAGGAAAAAAAAGTAATTTTTTTAAAAAGAAAAAAGAAATAAATCAGAATACTTGATACATTCTGCAAATATATAATTTGATTTCTTATGAACTTTGATCCTAGCTGCTGATGACACATCTGTGGGAAATATTAACTATTTCACCACTGCAAGCACTTAAATTAAAGTGCACTTGCTATGTAATGTAATGAAACAATTCATACAAGTGCTATTCATATTGATGGATAACATACAGGTACAATTTCATTCTTTGACATCTTCTCTATCACGTATAGATACATACTACAAATATGAATGGCACTGTTAATACCGCATGTTACTCACTGTGGGATAACATTGTAAGATACGATAGCCACAAATGGTAGAATACGTCAGGTAAATTTAACACATTTAGTTGAAATTGTAAATACAAATTTTCACTTAAAACGTGTATGTCGAGTTTTATATTTTTATAGCTAGTCTATAGCTTTCATTTGGAATTTTTTAGATGAAATGTTCAAGGGAGGTATACACAATAAGGCCAACAGACTGCCCAGGAATAATTTAAATGTGGGCAATTTTATGATGGTTTATTAGTCATCAGTGAATATACAGCAAATTGAACGTATATATATATATATATATATATATATATATATATATATATACAGTACAAGCAGTCCAAGGACACAGAGGAGGTGGCACATGATCTTTGGGCCCAACAGAACTCACTTAAATATGTGCAGGTGCAGCTCATCAATATACAAGTGGACTTTCCCAGAGAAAAGCAGATCTGGAGGATAAAAGCCAAAGCAAGAATCTCGAAATGAGATGCATCTTTGAGCAGAATTACTTAACTTTCTTCCACAATGCAACTTCAAAGGGATTGTACCTCTAGAAACAGACCAACAATGGATGGCTGCTACTGCATTAACAGACCTACTAGGGCCCTCAAATCTACTTAGTGAGACGTCAGAGCGTTGCCACGGGTTACCGTGGCAATGCTCAGCGCGGCAGTCACACCGCAAGACTTACAGTGGGAGCTGACCAGACCGGAGGAGAGAGAAGGGAGCTGACAGGAGCTGCAGGAAAGTTAAGTAACAGCTCTCTGCCAGACCCCCTCCTACACAGCCCATCCACTGGACCACCAGGGAATGAGAGCCCCCCTCCCTGGCCAGCTAACAAGCAGGGAGGGGGGACAAAAAAAATATAAATAATAATTTAAATAATAAAATAAAATTAATAATATAAAAAATATTAATAAAATATTAATAATATAACAACAACAAAATATTAAAATAATAATAATTAAAAAAATTAAATAAAAATGCCCACCCCCCACCAAGTCTCTGCATCACATACACAAACACACTCTGCATCACACACACACACTGCACTCATACAAACACACTGCATTATATACACACACACTGCATTCATTATATACACACACTGTAAATACATATTCAATTAATATAATTTTATTGGGATCTAATTTTATTTAGAAATTTACCAGTAGCTGCTGCATTTCCCACCCTAGTGTTATACTCGTGTCAATATGTTTTCCCAGTTTTTTGGGTTAAAATTAGGGGTCTCGACTTATATTCGGGTCGACTTATACTCATTAGTCATTTTAAATAGAAATACACATAAAAGATATATGTAGCACTGAAGATGGATATTTATTATGTGATATAGATGTGGGCATGTCTCCCCAAGAAGGGGAGATATTTGATTGAATGTAATTTAAATATTCAACTCCTAATCAAATTAAAAAAAAACAACCCTTATAGCTTCACATTGGAAGTCTACAATTTTTCACTCCATGTAAGAACTGCATTTCAAGCCTTTATATAAATCCATGTCTTGATCACTCCAAACAAAAAAGAAACTACAATAAACAAAAACCTAAAACATATGGTTCTATTTGAAAACAATTCAAAAACTATATTAGATACTTCATGAAAGGTTATGCACTGTGACTAACATTACACTGCCAGACAATACTTTGTGTAGGCGTCACATTTATTGGGAAACATTCACTAAATGACTTAGTAGGTTAGAGTGATTTCATTCCTATTTCTAAAAAGCTTGTCTTCAAGTTACAAGAGCCTCTACATACCGTTGCACATGGTTTCTCATCGATGGTCACAGGTGCAATCTGAAATTAGAAACAGAAAATAAATCAGTAAGTCAGAGCTAAAAAGTTCAAAAATATTCTTCTTTGTTAAATGTATTGATTTTCTTTTTTTCCACTGTCTGAATGCTGAGGAACATTCACTTATGGAGGGTTTTGTCTGATTCCTCGCAGTAAAACCTCTACATGAATAAAAATACTGTACATAACAGGTCATTAAATAAAAAAGTAAACTTTGATGGAATTTCCTGTGTGTGAATTTGAGGATTCTAAATGTGATAGGCAGTTTTGTCAGTGACTGCATGCAGGCAGGCCAGATTTTACGGTACTCACACATACTATGGGCCTGGGTTGGCTACATTAATTAATTCATACGTACAACTATTCCTTAAACCAGGGATGTAGAGCCAGAACACAAACCATTCGACTTCATCTCCTCAATTTTGGTACCACTGACTCCTTACATTATATATAATTAGATTATAATTACCGTATCTACTGTATATGCCAGCATAAAAGTTAACATTGTAAGCATAACTAAAGCTCCGAAAAATTAGCCAGACTCAGACTCCACATTACATTCCTGATGCCATTACTTATTGCGTTATTCCAGGCACCAATACAACTTTAAATAACTTGATAGATTTAGGCCTCAGTAATATGTTATATATATATATATATATATATATATAACATTTGCCATATAAAATATGCCAAATGTTATATATATATATATATATATATATATATATATAACATATTACATAAGACTGTTACACCAATTTCTTTTAATTTTTAAAGATATTTTGTGAACAGTCCCATTATGATTCAACACCAGGGAACTGGGTGCCATCCAGCGATATTTCACTGAATCTGACCACAGTTGGAGAGTGAGACAATCGCCACTGTAGAGTGGACCTTATTAGGTCTTGATAAAAAGTGAGGATGGATTTTTCAAAACATATGTCTTGCCCTGTAATGTTGACAAGATGCCTCTTGTCTTGTGAGGATGAACAGCGGATAATAATGTTCCGGACCACAGAGGATAGACTGATCACATCAATAGTAAGTTTCCTAGCCAAGCTTGGAGTTAAGAATAATGCCAAAATGCGCTGCATTTAATGAGAAATCTCCTCCATAGTGATGGTGTCTGATATGCCTCTTATTTTGAGATGATTCCTCCTGGATCATCCAGAGCAATAAGTTGGACTGATAACATGTGCTGAATAGAGTCTCTCAAGGAAGACAGTGTTTCAAGAAAATTATATCCTCCTCGGAGGCACGCACCCTGTCTGTGACCCCTTGCACATCACCTTTCATTACTGCCATGGTTGCCGCCAACAGCTTTTCTTCAGGTGGATTATTGCGGGTGGCATGGTAGTGTAACGGAGGCCTCAGGGTCTTCTGTAGTAGCCACCCTGGGCTGTGCTTGTCGCTGAGTAAGAGCTCCAATGTCGCTTGTCTCAGTGGGCATGACACCTGGTAGGTTTTGGAACTATGGCCCCAAAACTGAGGCTCCTGCAGCAGATGTAGGTGGATGCGGTGGCAGATTAAGGCATACTATCAGGCAAGGAACCACCGAGTAGCTCCTCCAGTCCAAAGCCGTAAGGTAGATGGTAGGCCCCAGGTCTGCGTTTCTGCCATTTCATCTTTGGTGTGAGAAAGAACGATGTGAATTGACTCAGTGGGATGCCTAGAGGTGAGTACAGACTTAATACTGTATTGATGAATGAATGGGATTGTGATATTCATAGAATTGGCTAATTTCTGCAAGAGCTATACAATATAGTGTCCACTCCATCTCAATGGCAAGCTCCACCACCTCAAAGCTACTTTTTGCACAAAAATAACATAAGCCTGCCTCCTTAGACATACCCCCTCATGACATAAAGACTTCCTTATCAAATGTATGCACAAAGTCCCTACAGCATTCAGTGAACTGCTTTTAATTCACAACCTGGCTGCAGACTTTCAGAGAAATTATGAATGTAGATTGATACTTCAGATCATTCAGTATAGTCAGTGGCTGGCACAAATCTGATGTGCATTATCAGGCATTTGATCTATAAACAAAATGAAACATTAGTGCTAAAAATTACCCTGCTATTCTCTAGTTTAATAATCCATGTGGAACAATCAATTTCTAAAATCTTTTTTTCAGCCCCAAAAAAGGCCAAATAAAAATCCATAAATCCTGTCAAACTAATAAAATTAAAAAAGACCCAATCGCAAAAAAATAAACAAAAAAAACACTCAGAAAATAAATAAATCCTGACAATAAAAATGAATCTTTCTTCAACCGGCAGGGGCTCCACACAGAATGAGCTCCGCAGGGTGGGGAAAGACTTATAAAGCCTTTCCACGCCCCGCAATTTGACTCTGAGCTCTAAAGCAACCCAATCAGAGTGCTCAGACAGGTAAACCTCAAGCCTTGCAGGTAACCAATAAGGTAAGACTCAAGATTTACCTGTGAGAGCACTCTGATTGGTTGACTTAAGCCAAACAACCAGAGCGCTTTGAGTCAAATTGCATGGCGTGGGTAGGCTTTATAAGTATTTCCATTACCTGCGGAGCTTTGTGTGCACGGAGCCCTCGCTGGGTGAAGATGGATTAATTTTTATTGTCTGGATTTTATTTTATTTTCAGGTGTTTTTTTTTGGGGGGGGGTCAGGGGGAGGGCGATTGGGTCTTCTTTTAAATTGTATTAGTTCAATAGGATTTATGGATTTTTGGGGGTTGAAAAAATAAGATTTTTAGGAAAAAGAAAACATTTAATTTCTATTCATTCATCTTTCTGATGAATGAACAACTAGCCAAAATTCACATCCGAATTTTGTACAATAGCAAATGCCCAAGTGTTAAACTGGGCATGAGCAAGAATTTCACAGCGCTATCTAGTGTGGGCAGATGACGTGTCCCAAAGGGCCTTCATCTGTCCACACAGAAACAGGTGAAAGTAGCCTGACTAATGACTATAAGGAACATGTAGTAGCAAGTCGGCTGTGGTGTGCCATAACCAATGAACATGGTAGGCCTGAAGAAAAGTACCTAAACTCGTAACTACATAAATTAGCAAAGCCCTCTAATGATTAAGCATACTTGTACCTTGATTGATACAGCAAATGTACATACCACCAAAACTTCCCAGGTTAGAAAGATAGCATCAGGAACTTAAAGATGCAATTAACTGATAAATTGGGTAAAATAATACCAGTAACCTAGTGCGAAATGCAGAAAACATGAAACTATGTTTCTGGCAGGCTTATACAATTAGCTGGTCATAAAACCTTGCCCATCTGAATACCATTGTTGAGTCAGGTGTGTATATATTTATTTATTTATTAATTAATTTTTTTGTTTGTTATTCTTTAACCTTGCTTTCTTTTAACACTGACAGTTCTCTCTCTGCTCATTTACAGAGTTCGGTGCTGGTTTAGCAGGATTTGGGATTTTTTTCCTCATCTTTGGGGTACTGTTATACTTTGATAGAGTGCTTCTGGCCTTTGGAAATGTAAGCACTTAGTGTAAAATTTATGTTGCTGTTGTATGGAAAACAAGACATTGTATTTACACAGCCAGTCACCATGTCCCCTACTTTATCCCTTGTAGGTCCTGTTTCTGTTTGGTCTGGCACTAATTATTGGCCTCAGAAGGACATTTAGCTTCTTCTTCCAGCGACAAAAGTTAAGGGGTAGCTCGTTCTTTTTAGGTGGGGCACTGCTGGTCCTGCTACGCTGGCCTCTGATTGGAATGCTGTGTGAGTTCTATGGCTTCATTAGCCTATTCAGGTAACTATACAAACTAAGCAGTGTCAAGTCAATTGATCTATTAAAATGTTATGCTGCAGAAGATCTGACCAAAACTAAGCATGGTCAAGTCAACTGATCTATCCAAGTTTATGATGAAGACCTGACCAATGGCTTCTAATGCCTCTTAAAATACAATTTCTTCGTTCTCTCGTCTCTCCATAACCATTCATATTCCAGCTAGCTCTCTTCCTTAGTTTCCCAGCTCGACCATGTCCCCAGTCTCTCGACATGGATAGTTCATATCCACAGAGAACACCAATATTTTCAAATGACAACCTAATTTTACTATTTCTCCCTTGTTACAATAGTAATACAATGTGCTTACACCCTAATAAATTCCTGCCAATTTCCAGTTTAGCTTTTAAATAGCAGTTCAACAAAGGGTTGAGAATAAGTGAGAGAAATGAAAACAGGGCATTTCAAACTTTAAAGGACACTCCTGGCAACAAATGGACATATATGTTACAAATGAGCAATTGTCTGCAGATGCCAGTGATCACCAGTACTTAAATGTTCATGGCTACTCCTGGATGAAAAAGATTGTATACAGACAACTTAATATGGCTCAAATTATCCATGGCATCCCACAATCAGTTCACTAACCTCTTACCGCTATATATGGTGTGAAGCAACAGAAGGGAGACAATCTATAGCAGAGGCAAATGTATGTTTTTCCTATTTTTGGCAAAATAAATGCAATTATTTTGTCAATTACCCACAACTACTGATATAACTGATCAACCTTTATGAATGTTACTATATTTCCTTTTCTTTTTCATTCAGAGGGTTCTTTCCAGTGGTATTTGGCTTTTTGGCTTCACTAGGGAACATTCCACTGCTCACCATGGTAAGTACCAATATGTTTCTAAACGAAAAAAAAAAAAATATGTATACGTTTATAAAAATAATTTCTTCTTGCTTGTTCAATGATAAAAAATGTCAAGAATGTAAGCTCTTTGAGCAGGGCCCTTCACCTCTGTTCCTGTACGTCCAGTTGTCTGGTTACAATTACATGTCAGTTAGTCCACCTGTACAGCGCTACAGAATCTGATGGCGCTATATAAATAATAAAATGATAATAAAGAAAATATTTTACAGCTCATCCCACAACAAATTAGATAAATGTACACTCATACACCAAACAGCCATCACGTGGCTCCATATGACAGGCAAAACAGAAGAAAAACCACGTTCAACACATCCTACATTGGTCAATGAAAGATAGTCAGATGTCTAAAAGAGGCTAAGGATAACTTATGAAATTTGGTGGTTTCAAAAACTCACTTTGAATAACTTAGTGAGAGCACAACCACTTTATCTCCCTAATCCATAAAGCAAACAAATGTTTTGACACTAGCAACTTCCATAAAGAGGGAGTGTGAAAATTTAACAATCTACTTAGTCCAAAGGACTAAAGCGGTAGCCCAGTCTACTTGTCTAACATGGTAATCTGCTTGTCCTGACCAGGGCCGGACTGGGAATTAAAAGCAGCCCTGGAAAAAAATATTTACCAGCCCCATAATGCGTTGCGCCAGCATAGTGTGCAGATACAGAGTTAGAAAAGAGAACTTAAAATTAAAAATTATTACTCCAACGTAAAGAAAAGCACTCATAGGCTTCAAAATAAACAAAAGTGCTGATTTATTTTAAGCAGATGTGCCTTTGCATGTAATCAATGTTTCAGTCCAACTACCTTGACATATTAAGGAAAGCTTGGTAATGAGACTGAAATGGTGAATGTATGTAGGGCACAACTGTAAAAAATTGACGCTATCTTGTTTATTTTGAAGTCCTGTGGGTGTGCCCTTCACTTTAAATATGTTATTGTGCTGGAGCATGCACCTAGCAACAAGACTGGGCCAATATCTGCTCATTAAATATAGTACATATTAATGACATTTCTCTGTGTATTATGCATATATAAATGTACATTAATATATGTGTAAATATAATAGGCATAATTATATATATATATATCTATCTATCTATCTAATACACACATTAATATACATGTCGTATACCAGTGGTGGATCCAGAGCCTGATCCCGGGAGGGGCACTTTTAGAATATTTAAAGAAAAAAAATCCATGCACAATAACCACTACTGCTCTGTGTAGTGGTTATGGTGCAAGGAGTGCCAGGACAGCCTCCCAGAGTAAGTAGTCAAACCGTTTAAGAACAGTTACCTGGGGTCTGTTGGGATATGGGGCTGTAGTAGGGTTTAGGAGCAAACAGTGGTGCAATGTGTGAGGGGTGCAGTGTGTGTGAAAGGTTCGGTGTATGTGTGTGTGTGGGGGTGTAGAGTGTGAATGTGTAGGGTGTGTGGGGCAATGTGTGTATGGGGGGCTGTGTATGTGTGTGTGTGCAGAAATGTGTGTATGGGGGGCTGTGTATGTGTGTGGGGGGCAATGTGTGCATGGGGACAGTGTGTAAATGCGTATGGTGTGTGTGTGGGGGCAATGTGTGTATGGGGGGGGCAGTGTGTGAATGTGTATGGTGTGTATGGGGCTAGAGTTCACTCTCAACACTGCGACCACCACGAATTCATGGTGGTCGCAGTGGTGAGAGTGAACTCTAGTCCTTAGCTCCAGGGTTAGAGTTCACTCTCGTGAGAGCTGGAGCGTTGCCGTGGTTACTCTGTGCTCGCGAGGAGATCGGCTGGCAGGGGAGAGCCTTCTAGGGGGGAGGAATTGCCCTGTTGCGTCCCCCCCCCAGATCCACTGGTGATATATACAGCCCCTATGTGTGTCTCTTTATCTCCAGCCCCTCTGTGTGCCTTTTTTGTCTCCCCACAGTCACTCTGTATGTTTCTTTCTTCCCCTCACTGCTCCTCTGTGTCCATGTCTCCCCTCTCCTTCCCAGTCTCTCTTCCCCCTCTGCCTCTTTCTCCTCCTTCCCTTGTGTCTCTCTCTCCTTCCCCCTCTGCCTCTTTCTCCCCCTCCCCTTGTGTCTCTCTCCTTTCTCCCTCTGTCTCTCTCTTCCCCACATCTCTCTTCCCCTCTGTCTCTTTCTCCCCCCTTTCCCTGTGTCTGTCTCTATCTCCCACATCTCTCTTCCCCTCTGTCTCTTTCTCCCCCCTTTCTCTGTCTCTCTCTCTCTCTCCCCCACATCTCTCTTCCCCTGTCTCTTTTTCCTCCCTCCACCATCTCTTTATTCCCCCTTTTTCTCCCTCTGTGTCTCACTCTTCCCCGTCTGTCTCTTTCTCCCTCTTCTCCCTGTGTCTATTCCCTGTGTCTATTCCCCCTCTGTTTTATTTTCCCCCTCTCCTTGTGTCTCTTTATTCCCCGTCTTCCCCCTCCCATTTACCTGAGAGAAGTCAGGGGGGCCGGCCGCATTCCACGCTGGAACCGCCGGGCTGTGTGGCAGCCTCACCGGTCCGGTGGCACTCCTGTCACTAATGCTGAGGAGTGAGGACTGAAGGAGGAGCATGTCTCTCTACCATGCTCCTTTGCGGTTCCCATAATTCCCAGTTTAGTTAAATTCCCCACTGGGAATTGTGGGAACCGCTAGGGAGCATGGTAGAGAGACATGCTCCTCCCTCCTCCTTCAGTCCTCATTCCTCAGCATTAGTGACAGGAGTGCCGCCGGACCGGCAAGGCTGCCACCTGGCCCGGCGGTTTCAGCGTGGAATGCGGCCGCCGGCCCCCTCAGAGTGTGTGCCATCAAACCGGCCACCCAGTGGCACATACATGCTCAGCGCAGCCCTCAGATGCCGCGGCCCACCGGGAAATTGACAGGGTTATTAAAGGACCACTATAGGCACCCAGACCACTTCAGCTCAATTAAGTTTGCTTATCACAAGAAGCATTGCCTGATGTGAATGATGCCTCGCACAAAAGAGCTCTCAGAAGACCTACGATTAAGAATTGTTGACTTGCATAAAGCTGGAAAGGGTTATAAAAGTATCTCCAAATGCCTTCATGTTCATCAGTCCACGGTAAGACAAATTGTCTATAAATGGAGAAAGTTCAGCACTGCTGCTACTCTCCCTAGGAGTGGCCATCCTGTAAAGATGACTGCAAGAGCACAGCGCAGACTGCTCAATAAGGTGAAGAAGAATCCTAGAGTGTCAGCAAAAAGACTTACAAAAGTCACTGGCAAATGCTAACATCCCTGTTAGCGAATCTACAATACGTAAAACACTAAACAAGAATGGATTTCATGGGAGGATACCACAGAGGAAGCCACTGCTGTCCAAACAAAACATTGCTGCACGTTTGCAGTTTGCTCAAGATTACCTGGATGTTCCACAGCAGTACTGGCAAAATATTCTGTGGACAGATGAAACCAAAGTTGAGTTGTTTGGAAGAAACACACAACACTATGTCTGGCGAAAAAAAGGCACAGCACACCAACATCAAAACCTCATCCCAACTGTGAAGTATGGTGGTGGGGGCATCATGGTTTGGGGCTGCTTTGCTGCGTCAGGGCCTGGACGGATTGCTATCATCGAAGGAAAAATGAATTCCCAAGTTTATCAAGACATTTTGCAGGAGAACTTAAGGCCATCTGTCTACCAGCAGAAGCTCAACAGAAGATGGGTGTTGTAACAGGACAATGACCCAAAGCATAGAAGTAAATCAACAACAGAATGGCTTAAACAGAAGAAAATACGCCTTCTGAAGTGGCCCAGTCAGAGTCCTGACCTCAACCCGATTGAGATGCTGTGGCATGACCTCAAGAAAGCGATTCACACCAGACATCCCAAGAATATTGCTGAACCCTGAAACAGTTCTGTAAAGAGGAATAGTCAAGAATTACTCCTGACCGTTGTGCACGTCTGATCTGCAACTACAGGAAACGTTTAGTTGAAGTTATTGCTGCCAAAGGAGGTTCAACCAGTTATTAAATCCAAGGGTTCACATACTTTTTCCACCTGCACTGTGAATGTTTACATGGTGTGTTCAATAAAAACATGGCAACATTTCATTCTTTGTGTGTTATTAGTTTAAGCAGACTGTCATTGTCTATTGTTGTGACTTGAAATGTGATCTGATCATCATATATGTCCAATTTGTGCAGAAATCTATATCAGTCCAAAGGGTTCACATACTTTTTCTTGCAAGTGTAGATATAGATAAAAATAGATAGATAGATAGAAATAAATAGATAGAAAGAAATAGATACATAGAGATATATATAGATAAAAATAGATAGATAGATAGAGATAGAAAGAAATAGATATAGATAGAAAGAAATAGATATAGATAGAAAGAAATACATAGATAGATATAGATAGATAGAAAGAAATAGATACATAGATATAGATAGATAAAGATAGATAGAAATATATATGGATAGATATATAGATAAAAATAGATAGATAGATAGGCTTGGCCTGTAATTGCGGTACATTATTCCCTATATAAAGCGCAGTAAGGCCCAGTTTACCTGTCATCGACGTTACCGGAAGTGCTTCGATCTACTTCCGGTTCACGTGATCCAGACGCGGCAGTGGCTGACAGCGAGAAAGTTACTCCAAATCGAGTTCCGGCCGTTATCGGGTGCCTAACCGCTCCACGAGGCTGTCTCCCCGGGTAAACAGTGAGTTGTCTCACTGGCGCTTCCAACCCCACGTGTACCACTAAATAGGGAACCCCTTCGTCCCTCAGGCTCCCCGGCAACGAGCTATATACAAATGGGCCCCCCCACGTATTCACAGGGTGCACGGCGTATAAAGGGTCCCCTTTGATACTTGCCGCATACCGGCTTCATGGTACCGATCAAACGCTTCAATACACGAAACCCTATACTTACGTGCGGGACTTGTTCATGGTCATCTTCCTATTCCGGGCAGCATTCGGCTATTTCATTCTTAGCACTGCTTTTCCCCGCATATAGGCTGGTTTTAACTTTTAGTATGCCAATTAGTCAGTATGTATGGCTAAATGTCGCCACCTTGTGGCTTTGTTCAATATTGATTGGTAACATTTATTAAATGTACGGCTAGCTTTCATTTACTTTGCAATTGTACTTTCAATGCTCTATTAGTTAATTACAGATGGGTTATAAACTGTCAATTATTTTAACCGGCTGGTGATTCGCTCGCATCAGTGGTTGTTTTCCGATTATGCTACGCTAGTATTAAATAGTTCATTATAAATTCTTTACTTTATTCATTAGTTATTATATAGGTTATATTATGCTCAACTCGGTCTTGTCATGACGTTATTTTCTCGCCTGCCGGCAGTCCGTTTTCAAACTCTCTCAAGCATTATACTCTGGTTGTTAAATAAATATTCTTTAGGTTTCAAAAAATAAATAAATAACGCTTGATTACAGTAAATTCTACAACCATTACAAACTATTCTTACTTATTCAGCATTAGGACTATAAATATTCTGTTTATCTCTGCTAATGCATAATCCTCCGTTTACCTTACACATGCCGCCGCAATTCGTGCTATCAAGCATTTTGTGTTAAACATTCACCTACTCAGGGGATTATTAGGTGTCCATTCACATAAATTCGGTTAATTAACCCCTTTCGTTACATTTATACACTTCATAACAGCTTTTCGGTTGTTTTACACAAAACACAGTACAAAGCTCTGTTCGTGCTAACTGCCATTTTCGTGGGGTATAGACAGTCGTTGGTTCAAGCTGGCATTTAACTCACATATTGCAGTAATTAATCTCTGTTAAATTAAGATTCACATGCTGTCATTTTCATTTTACTACGATGGTTCCATTTAGTTAAAACATATATATTGTCAATTATAGGCTGAGTAGCCTGGTTGATTTTGGCTTTGTCGCCACCTCATGGTTTGACAAGCTTGAGCGGCTAAATTCAGTTAATAGGCTTATTATATGTGTGTATATATATATATATATATGTATTTATATATAGGTTCTTTACTCTGTACCTTCATCTAGGGTACTTTAAGTGTCAATAATTAACTACGGACAGTTATTCACGGTCTCGTGCATTTCTTGTTACGAACTACACTGTTCAATATTGTTTAAATAAAATTGTTTCATATGTCACTCGCCAAATCTTCTTAATTATTTTCCACGCATACGGTTAGTATATAACCTTTTGGTTGGAGGGGCAAATTTTCTACAGCTGCTCCCAGGCATTAGGTTGTAATCGAAATTTGTGACATATTTTAGGTTCAAGTAAGGATTATTCTATCCACTTCAGTATACGTCAGTCAAGTAATTTATCAGGTATGTAAACCGGTCAAACCCAGTCAAGGTTACGAGTAGGTTTAAGCGCTCGCCAAGTTAGGTAAAGTCCCATAGGCCTCTTCGCCTAGCAGTCAAGTGGTCCCGCAAGGCATACTATCAACCATTACGTTCAGAGGTTCATGCCCAATCGTCCCAATTCATAGTTAGGGCCTCACCCGTCACGGCCAATCGTTATTACACTCTGTTACGTGTCACCGAGAGGCCAACACCCCGCCACCCACCTCAGTGGCACAAAGGCCCCACGAGCCAAATCATAAGTAGAGAATCTCATAGCCACTTGGCAAGTAGTCAGGGCTTCACCTGTCACCAACCTAAGCTAGTTAATACAATTTTGCCAGTAGGCACTAGCCTAGTAAGCTGGGTCACTACCGATCTATACGGTACCATACTAACCTTATCCATCTGCCTCACTTCCGTAGCATGTCTAACGATTCTACACAAGGAGATGATTTGTCGGTGGCCAGCACCCCACTCAGATCAGGCTCACAGAGACGAACCAATCCACCAAGTCCAGCTTCCAGCTATCGTTTCTGGACTATCCCTAAGATCACCTCAGAACTTAAAAAGAGGAATATTCCTTTCCCGGCTACAGCCAGGAAAGCCAAACTGTTTAGGTTGTTAAATATTACTGAAGACAACGAAAGGCCAGGCCCTAGTTCTGATTTCAATGTGCACAATAGCCTTGCAGAATTACACACCATGATGGCCTCCCTTGTTTCCTCAGTAGCAACTATTAACAATAGATTGGATAATCTGGAGTCAAACAATATCAAAACCGTTCCAGAGATTCCAGTGCCCGTTACTCAGCCCACACCTAACTCAGGAGGTAAAGATAACCCTCTACCAGCAAATAGAGCTACAAATATCATAAACCCCATTCATCTCATTCCTCAGTCTCTAAGACGGGACATTATAGAGGGGAAGGACATAAACTTGGCATCACTACTGATTGCATCTCAAGACGTGGTAGAAAACAGGGCCTATACCTTCGAGGATCTGTCAGTAGTGATGAAGTCTAGAGATCCTAGACTAAATAGGAAACTCAACATCCCCGAATTTGTCCTCGCATTCGGGTTGTACAGAGATGTGATCTGTACAGCTTTCCCACTCCGTAGAGAGGAACTTGACTTATACCTTCATAAAGTGGATGAGTTAGCATACAAGTACGGCGGCTATGCATTTTATGATTATCATAAGTCATTTGCTTCCAGATCCGCAGCATCACTCTCCCAGTACAATACGATTACTGATTGGGCACAGCTAGAGACAGAGTTGTTTCTGATGCATTTTGCAGGCTTTAAAACCCCTTCCTGCGCTATATGCTCTTCTGCTGCTCATTCAGTAAATGTCTGTCCTGAAAACGTAGCGTCCCCTTCTACCAGTAGCGCCAATACTGGTTACGATTCCAACACAACACAGAGGGAAGTGAGAGACAAACTAGGCAGGCCTATTGTTTTTCTAGGTAAAGCACAAGTCTGCAACAATTTTAATACAGGTGGTTGCAGTTATAGTGCTTGTAGGCTGTTGCACGTGTGCTCAATGTGTTTTAGAGCACATGCCAAAACTTTGTGCCCCAACAGATTGTACCCTAACAAATCTTCCACATCAATAAACGTACCTTAGTTGCAACGCTACCTGTCTAATCATCCTTCTGTTAATTTGGTGGAATTTCTCACGGCGGGTTTAACTAATGGGTTCCACACAGGGTTTGTGTCACTCCCCACAGGGATTTTAGAATGCCCCAACTTACAGTTGGCATTCACGGATCCAGACAGCATAAGCGAACTATTACAGAAAGAAATCACCAATGGTTTTATGATAGGCCCTTTCTCTACTCCTCCTTTCACTTCCTGGAGGACAAACCCACTAGGAATCACCACAGGGAAATATAACAATAAAAAGCGACTGATTATTGACTTCTCGGCACCACACTCATCGCCTACACCTAGCCTTAATGCTCTGATCCCGTCAGATGACTTTTCCCTGCAATACGCCAGAATTGACGATGCCATCCAAGCAATCATTCATGCCGGGAAGGCTGCTTGGTTAAGTAAATCTGACATCACAAACGCCTTTAAACTGCTTCCCATCCACCAGTCACTCTGGCATCTACATGGAGTTACGTGGGAAGGAAGCTACTATTTCGCTACAAGACTGACCTTCGGATCCAAAAGTAGCCCTAAGTTATTTGATATATTTGCCGAAACTTTAACCTGGCTCCTACCGAACTCTTGCAGATATCCAGTAGTCATACATTACCTAGACGACTTCCTCACCATTGAACCTCACCAACACACACCCCACAGCCTTAATCACATGCTCACTCTTTTCAAAGACTTAGGAGTCCCTGTAGCACAAGACAAAACTGAAGGTCCCAACACGGTGATCACATTCCTGGGTATTACACTCAATTCCGGATCTATGCAAGCCAGCCTACCTCAAGAGAAAGTAGACCGGATACTTTCTTACATAAACACTTGCACGTCACAAGGCACTTGCACAAGGAAACAACTACAGTCACTACTCGGTTCACTAAATTTTGATATGAGAATAATTCCTCAGGGTAGGTCTTTCATTTCCAGAATCCTCTCACTATTGCACGGCCTCCCCGACAACGACTCCACAACTTCCCTAAACGAATCAGCTAGAGCTGATCTACAAATGTGGCAGCTGTTCCTATAATCTTGGAATGGCAGGTCGCTATTTGTGCCACCCATATCAGACAATTCCCCTGTAATTTGGGCCGATGCTTCAGGTACATTAGGGTATGTAGCCATTTTCGGTGATGAGTGGCTATATGACTCTTGGCCAGTTGAGACCACCTCACTCGAACATTTCAATACCACCTCCGCTCTGTTCGAAATTTATCCTATAGTAGCAGCTGCACACGTCTGGGGTAAAGAATGGAGTGGACAGTCAGTCAGATGTTTTTCAGATAACATAGCTACCTGTGATCTAGTTAACAAAAGCCGCTCTCAGTCCCTAACGATTATGAAATTAATAAGGAGAATGACCTGACTAGCGGCTAATCTGCAATTCTGCATAACATGTTTTCATGTTCTGGGTGTTCAAAATAACGCTGCTGATGCTCTCTCACGCTTAAATTTGCAGGAATTTTTCAGGTATCACCCATCAGCAAAACCGCAACCTAGAGAATCTCCAGGGTACACAGAACTAATTATGCTTTAAGTTCTCTATTAAAACATAGTAGATCTCTCACACAAGCAGGCTTGTCCACTAATACAAGGAAAGCCTACGGTAGAGCATACAAGTTGTTTAAAAATTTTGTTCGTGATTATCACATAATAAATGTTTTTTCTGTTGAAACGGTTGTTGCATTCACAACTTTTTGCCATATTTCTATTAAATTAGCCTACAACACTATCAAACTCTACTTAACGGGCATACAACACTACATGTTGACCAGCCATCCCAACAAAACTCCATTCCTAACGTCCTACCCAGTAGATATAGATAGATAGATATAAATATAGATAGATAGAAAGAAATAGATAGATAGATAGATAGATAGAGATAGATAGAAAGAAATAGATACATAGATATAGATAGATAGAAAGAAATAGATATATATAGATAGAAAGAAATAGATATATATAGATAGAAAGAAATAGATAGTTAGATAGATAGATAGATATAGATAAAAATAGATAGATAGAAATAGATAGAAAGATATAGATAGATAGATAGATGGAAATAGATAGATAGAAATAGATAGTTAGTTAGAAAGAAATAGACATAGATAGATAGATAGATAGATAGATAGATAGATAGAAAGAAAAATATAGATAGATATAGATAGATAAAAATAGATATATAGAGATAGATAGATAGATATAGATAGAAATAGATAGAAAGAAATAGATATAGATAGACAGATATAGATAGATAGATAGATAGATAGATAGAAATAGATATATAGAGATAGATAGATATAGATAGAAATAGATAGAAAGAAATAGATAGATATAGATAGATAGACAGATATAGATAGAAATAGAAAGAAATAGATAGATAGGTAGAAATAGATAGATAGATAGATAGAAATAGATAGATAGAAAGAAAAAGATAGATAGAGATAGAAAGAAATAGATAGAAATAGATAGATACAGATAGATAGATAGAAATAGATGGATAGAAATAGATAGAAAGAAATAGATAGACAGATAGAAAGAAAAATATAGATGGATAAAAACAGATAGAAATATATATATATAGATAAAATAGATGTATAGCTATAGCTAGATATATAGAAATAGATGGATAGATATAGATAGATAAAAAAGATGGTTAGGGATGGATGGATGGTTAGGGATTGATGGATGGTTAGGGATGCATGGATGGTTAGGGATGCATGGATGGTTAGGGATAGATGGATGGTTAGGGATGGATGGATGGATGGATAGGGATGGATGGTTAGAGATAAATATAGATAGATATAGATAGATAAATATAAATAGATAGTTAGAAATAGATAGATATAGATAGAAAGAAAGAAATAGATAGAAAGAAATAGATAGATATAAATAGATAGATAAAGCTAAATAGATAGATAAAGATAGAAAGAAATAGATACATAGATATAGATAGATAAAACAGATAGATATAGATAGAAAGAAATAGATAGATATAGATATATAGAAAAATAGATAGATATAGATAGAAAAAATATATACATAGATATAGATAGATAAAAATAGATAGATCTAAATAGATAAATAAAAATAGATAGATAGATAGAAATAGATAGATATAGATAGATAAAAAAGATGGTTAGGGATGGATGGATGGATAGGGATGGATGGTTAGGGATAAATATAGATAGATATAGATACATAAATATAAATAGATAGTTAGAAATAGATATAGATAGAAAGAAATAGATAGACAGAAAGAAATAGAAAGAAATAGATGGATAAAGCTAGATAGATAGACAAAGATAGAAATAAATAGATACATAAATATAGATAGATATAGATAGACAGATAGAAATAAATAGATAGATAGATATAGATAGAAAGAAATATAGATAGATAAAGATGGATAGATATAGATAGATAAAATAGATAGTTAGAGATAGATATAGATAGAGATAGATATAGATAGAGATAGATAAAAATAGATAGAAAGAAATAGATAGATAGATATAGATAGATAGAAAGAAATAGATATAGATAGATAGAAAGAAATAGATATAGATAGATATATAGATAAAAATAGATATATAGATAGATAGATATAGAAATAGATAGATGGATATAGAAAGAAATAGATAGATGGATATAGAAAGAAATAGATAGAAAAATAGAAATAGATAGAAAGAAATAGATGGTTAGGGATGGATATGGATGATGGGGATGGATGGATATGGATGATGGGGATGGAGAGAGTAAGTGTATGTCTTTAATTTTTTTACTACTTGTGTGCTTGCATAGAAACACTATATACAGAGATCTCACTATATATAGTGTTTGTATACAAACAAAAAGTTTGGCTGAGAAAGGGGGGCTGGTATAGAAAGCGACCTGAGCTGTCAGTCAGACAGCTCAGCTCGTGAACGCGCATTCCGCGCACATGCGCGGTTGAGCACCGAGTTTCTTCATGGGGTGGCATTCAATACCGCTCTACAAAGAACGTGATTGGTGCAGCGCGAAGCCGCGCATGCGCACCACATCGCGATGACGCTTCTCAAAGAGAAGCGTCCTATTGGGCCCTGCCATTTCGTCATTTTGTCGGCGCTGGAACGGAGGTAAGTTTTATTATTAAAAAGTGCTTGGATTTATTTTTAACAGCAAGTTCATATAAAAGCAAGAAAGAAGGCTGGGGGACCTGTCTTTCTTGCTTTTATATGTTGACTATAGTGTCCTTTTAATGTAACCTTAACCAAACCTTATAGATCTAATGTGAAAATAATCATGCTATATCTACCTAGGGCCTTATATAACAATGCCCACTTGTGAGATTTTTTTTATTAATTTTTTTTAAGAAAGCTGATCAATATAAATCAGTACAGGCTCACCCATAGGGGCAGCTGAGACAAAAGCAAAAAAATAGACTAAATAATTATAATTTTTTTCCCTCTTCTTTAATGCAACAGTTTATTTGTTTGTGTGTGTAATATGCAAATCATGAAAAATACATAATGTCATCTTAAATGGACACTATAGTCACCCAGACCACTTAAGCTCAATGAAGTGGTCTGGGTGCCAGGTCCCTCAGGTTTTAACCCTTCAGATGCAAACATAGCAGCTTCAGAGAAACTGCTATGTTTACATTTGGGGTTAAGCCAGCCTCTAGTGGCTATCTTCCGGACAGCCACTAGAGGCGAATCTGCGACGCTGGAGGCATATTATGAGAAAGGCTTTCCTATGGACACTTTGAATGCGCACGCGGCACTTGCCGGACATGCGCATTCGGCTACGATGACGTCAGACGGGGGAGCTGACGTCGGCAGGGGAGGAGAGGTCAACAGCACCGAGGGAGTCCGGCGCTGAAATAAGGTAAGCTGCTGAAGGGGTTTTAACCCCTTCAGTGCCACGGGAGGGGGACCCTGAGGGTGGGGGCACCCTCAGGGCACTATAGTGTCAGGAAAACCGCTTTGTTTTCCTGACACTATAGTGATCCTTTAAAAGGTAGAAATTACCAAATAGGTAATTATTGCATACATTCACACGTATAACTTAACAAATCAAAAGCAAACTAAAAACATTAAAAAAACAAATTAGTAAGAAAGTATGAAGTTCCCTTGTGGTTCGCACATTACATATCTGGGGCTCAAGGTAGAAGGTCCCTTTTCTACACGAGTGATCTACCAGTCACGTCAAATCAGGATCATACAAGTGAGAAACTAAACCAAATCAGGATCATACAATTGAGAAACTAAACTGTAAATGTATCCAAAAGACACTATAGTGAGTAACAATAAAAAAATAAATAAAATCAAACAAACAAATGTCTCAATCTCACAAGTATAACACTGAGATCATGGTAAGGATTTGGATGGGGAATATGCAGGTTTGCCTCCACTTCATAAATATTCAGATGGGCAAGATTTTATGACTCAAATGTATTCTTTATTGTATTTTTAAAGGAAGCATCTATGGTAAAAATATATTGTTTCGAAACGGAGGGGCACTTCCATTCATTTTTTGTTATTTAATGTAATTTAATGGAAAAGCAATAGGGGGGGAGGGGTGTCCTACTGCAGTTATATGTGCACATTTTATGTTTACTATGCACCCTTGTTAAAGGAAAGGGACCAAAGAGAGCCAAATCAGGAGTAATAGAAATAAAAGGTAAAACTATGTGTCTTAAGATATTGTGTCACTATACTCCAAAATTTTGTAATATACGGGCAGTCCCAGAAACAATGATACATGATACACCATAACACCTGAAGGGCATTTAAAATAAGTCGCTGATTATTTCTTTCCCATTTTAAATTGTCTATATGGTGCATAAAAGGCAGGATCTTTCTGCACTGCCGGTGGATCAGGTGTAGTAAGTTGGCTATTTCTCTGATGCCAGAATTTACAGCATATTGCCTCAAATCTGGTGTAGAAGAGGTCTCTTCACGGTTGATTTTCGACAGAGTGTTGGATGGCCGGCGCAGCAGCCATCTTGTGCACGGCAAGCGATGCCCGGGGTATCAAGCTTTCAGGCCACTGTCGGAGGATAAAGTAACCCAGTGGGGACCGGGATATCCCCCACTGGTCCAAAGGGGGAGGGGTGGGTAACGAGTTTGCTGATCTGTAGCCTTACTGAGCTTACTTTAATGAGCACTCTGCGATAGGTGATTGTCTGCCTTTCCCAACATTGCGTGCGACGGACACAGCAGGCCTCAGGATCAGGTGCACTTGGCAACCAGCAAGACGCTTCAAATCAGGCTCAATAAGCACGTTTAAGTGATAGAGTGATAGAGCTGTTGCAGGTAAAATAAATGCTCTGTTGCAGTATTTCCCACAGCAATTTAGCTTTTTTATGGTGAGTCGATGAGAGCTACAGGAATACGCGTCTGGCCATCTTGGCTGCCAGGCCCCACCCCCCATAAAAGTGATTCTATGGGACTAATGCATGATTAAAGCTCTTGGGAGCCAAAATGTTGCATGTTTGGTGGTATTCCTTAAAAAAACTTGAAACATCAGTATTACGGAGTGCAGCATGTGTTTTTTTCTTGTTACATTGTCCAATGGATTTGCGGTGTCCATTCACACGGAGTACCTCCTGGATAGATGGCCGGCTTGTATAGTGGAGCCTGTGTGCAGAGAATCTTGTTGCTTTTGGGATTTTTACAGTCAGCCTCTGAAAAATCGTGTATAACTAAACAGACACCATTTCTTAATTGTAAGTAGGAAAACCAGGGATGAGGAAGGTCAGGGAATCTCTCACAAATTTCAGTAATATTGAGGATCGTATGTGAGGAAAGATTCATAAAATGTCATTTTCCCCTGACTAGCCCACTGCAAGAATGGCCAATTGTTAGCACCTCCCTGAAAATATGGGTTACTGATGATTGGCAAAAATCAGTAACCCATATTAACCCAATTAGAAAGTGCCCCTAATTTTTTGTGTAACAAACTACAAGCTTTAATTGGGGACAACAACAGGGGGTTAGATTCTACTTGTGGTGGTAAGGAAGAGTGGAGAGTATGTAAGAGTGACATAGTGAAAAAGGATGTGCCAGCCCTGATTCTTAATGGACCATTGAGTAGCAGCTTTCTCCCTTGATCCAATCCATTGCGTAACGTGCCTGTGCCTCTAAATTGAAATCTTTGATATTTGTCAAATTCAGTCCACCAAGAAATTTGTATTGATAGAGTTTTGTCAAACTCAAGTTGGCTGCCTTCCCTTTCCAGAGGAAGTGCCACAGTTTTTTGTTGAGAAAAGACTCACGTTTGTTTGACAAAAATAGTTGCAAAACCTAAAGTGGGTAAAGTAATTTAGAAAAATTGATTAATTTAAAAAGAGAGTAACGGCCTTCTATCTATGTCCTCAGCGGTAGAGTCAAGGAATGGAGGATGCTGTGACAAGTGTCTAGGGATATGGACACCCAAACATTTTAATATTGATGCAGACCAAGTCACTTGGATAAGCAAAGAAAAGGTGTATACCTGAGGAACCCTTGATAGAGGGCTAGAGTTTTAAAGGTGTGGGGTAGACTTTTGCCAATTGATCGTGAAACTATCTTACTAAAGGTAGTGAGGAGATTAAGTATCTGCAGCAGTGAAATATAACTACATCCCCAATAGGAATACCCCTAACCTCCCTTGAGAGCACAAGCTACCTACACCTTATACTCTATTGAAAGAGCACAATCTTTCATCTATATGCTGTACTTGCAGTTTAACTCACAAATGTACAGACTTGGAGAAAACCCTATTTAAAAGTAAGTCTTTCTCCAATCTGTCAAGTCTATTCTTCAGCTAGTCTATGCTGAAAAATTGACTGACAAGGGAGAGGAGACTGTCCTTTTTCTCTTCACACATATCTATAAGTCAATTCTTGAGCAAGTCTATGCTGAAAAATTAAATGACAAGTGAGACCAGAAGAAACATCCCACAGACCATTCTTCTGCTCTCCACACATACTTGTGGTTGCTACTGCTAGGGTAACGTCCTAGCAGGTGCTATTAACTAATAACAAAATAGAAAAAGCCCAGGAAGAAGAGGACATGGCGGCACTGGAGTGGAGGTATGGTGAGTGATTTTCTCTATACTTTACATTGAATACATCATGTATCTCTGTCATATATGGCGTATTCAACGCATATAGGGGCGATTTATGACAGGTTTACTGTAACCATTGCAATTCATTCATCAATTAAGCAGAATTCAAGGATTAGAATCAGAATGAGGTTGTGGAAACCCAAAGTCTCCCGATAGTAACTGGCGATTCTGTTTGTCATGAAATAAAGATATTCTATTTATATGTATTTTTTATATGTGTAGTGAGTGTGATGAGATGTGGTGTTACCTAGGTACATGTGTCTAAAGAAAATTGTACTTGACTTCCAGAGAAATGTGTCAAGGCATGTTCAATATTTCCACTATAACCTGTTTAATCTCTAAACCTCTAACATTTCATTGTAACTATCTTTATTCTTTTACACAAACATACCATACAGTAGCGTTAAATAAATTTACAGCTTAGTTTCTCTGTATAGTAGCTTTGTTTATTAACTATAAATTCTTCACATATCTAACAGTATTATTATATCTAACAGTATTATTACTCATTTTTTGCAGCTCTTCCAGAGACTTGCAGGAGGTGATTCTAACATGGTGTAAGAGAGCCAGGATGTACACAGCCTAGAGATACATACAGCAAATTTTGTATTAGTTATGTATGATAATGATTCTGATAACTAAATCAAAGACAATTGCTATCAAGCAGAAATCCAAGGAATGAATAGAACCAGACTGCAAACAGCTTGGATGTTCTTACACTAAATATAGTTTTTTAATATTACATTATCTAGTTATTTAATAGTACACTGAAATAAAATATTAAACACGGTGTACGTTTCAATGTACTTATGTACAGTGATGGAAAAAAGTATTTGATCCCCTGCTGATTTTGAACTTTTGCCCAATGACAAAGAAATGATCAGTCTATAATTTTAATTATGTACCATGTACCGTCAAATCTTGGGTGAGACCCTCGGTCTCTCAGACAGGTCACTGAAAATGGGTTGTGGAATGGTATTCCAGCATGACAATGACCCCAAACACACAGCCAAGGCAACAAAGGAGTGGCTCAAGAAGAAGCACATTAAGGTCCTGGAGTGGCCTAGCCAGTCTCCAGACATTAACCCCATAGAAAATCTGTGGAGGGAGCTGAGGGTTCAAGTTGCCTTAATGACATGTAGAGGATCTGCAAAGTGGAGTGGGACAAAATCCTTGCTGAGGTGTGTGCAAACCTAATGGCAAACTACAAGAAACGTCTGACCACAGTGATTGCCAACAAGGATTTTACCACCAAGTAATAAGTTGAAGGGGTCAAATACTTATTTCACTCATTGACATGCAAATGAATTTATAACTTTTTTGACATGTGTTTTTCCGTTTTTTTTTTTTTTTGTTATGCTGTCTCTCTCTGTTAAAATACACAATTATAGACTGATCATTTCTTTGTCAGTGGGCAAACGTTCAAAATCAGCAGGGGATCAAATACATTTTTCTCCCCTCACTGTATATGTGCCATATTAGAAATATGGCTGAAATACTCTACCAGCGATTTATAAAGAAGCAAAATTATATTTTCATCCTGAGAAATTATACCCCTATTTATACATGACAAAACCTTACTGGCCATAGCAACTGCAGATTGTTAAATAAGCTGAAAAAAGACTTGCATCTCACATCTGTTTTTGGAACTGAACTGAAGGAAGCAAAAACCATAGCTTGAATTGCTTTCCAATTTTGCAACAAACAACGAAAATTCTGTCTTGACCCTGGAATGGCAGCCAGATTTCTCCTTGGATAAAGAAGATGTTACCCCACATATTGAAAATTATATCCCTGAATGCTATGTTTGTACAAGAATTCATCCAGTTACTGGTTAAATATCTGTACAGACTCTGATAAAAACACATTTTAAGGTAGAGAATTCTACATCTTTATTGTTCTTTCTGAACCCTGTCTTAGACCAAATATCCTTTCTTCCAGCCTAAATGGGTGGCCTCTAGTACTATGTTAAGTCCTGTTTATGAATAAAATTCCAGATGCTTTGAAGAAAAAGTGGGTTGAGATATGAGACACTAGCTAGTTGGAGCATTTCGGTCAAGAGATGGCTTTTTTTAGGAAGATGTTTAAAAGAAATAGGAACTACACCACAGGAAAGACAGCAATTGAAGATGTTGTTAAGGATGGCACAAGGGAAGAGAAATATGACCAGGATCAAGGGAATGAAAACAAAAGGGTAGGTTGTGGGGCAAGGGTAAAACAGTGGGTCATACATCTCCTATTCAATACGTGAGATGAAGAACTGAAGGGCAGAAGAACAACAGTGGCTAACAGAGTGCAATAAAGGAAGTTTAAACTTAAGATATTTCTTTACAGGAACTTGAAGCGCTTCTAATTTTGAAACAAACTACGAAAAAATTCCTTCTTGATCCCAAAATGGCAGCCAGAAATCTCCTTGAACCATGAAGCTATAACCCCACTAATTAAAAACTATATCCCTGAATATTATGTTTTTGTAAGTATTTATTGAATTGCTGTATAGACTCTGATAAATTCACCTTTTCCGGCATAGAATTCCACATCCTTATTGTTCTTACTGTAAAAAAAAAAACCTTTCCTTTGCCTTAGACTAAATCACCTTTCTTCCAGTCTAAATTTATTTATTTTTTATTTATTTCTAAAATATTTTACCGGGAAGGATACATTGAGATTTCTCTCATTTTCAAGTATGTTCTGGGTCCACAAAAATGTCCTGGGTCCACAAAATCCGTGACCTCGTGTCCTATGTATAGTCCTTTTTATGAGTAGCTTTCCAAACAATGGTTTGTTTTGGCCCTGAATATATTTTTATAATACTCTCATCATCCATGTTGAAGCACTGTTTTACCAAGCTAAAGAAATTTAAATTTGTCAGCTTTTCTTCATAACCAAAATGCTTCATTACTTTTAATTTTGTAGCCCGCCTCTGCACTTTTTCTAGTTTACTTTATAACATTAGACATGTGCAATTTGTTTCAGTCCGAATTTTGGCAATTCGCTTCCGAATGTCTGAATTGCCGAATTTCGGAAGTGTCGAACCGAATTGCCGAAGCCCCGAATTGCCAAAGTGCAGAATTTCGGAAGTTCCGAACTGAATTGCAGAAGTGCTTCGGATTTCTGAAAAGTGGCAAAACGGGAGAGGGAGGTAAAATTAAGGGAATGATGGCAGGAATCTAACCCTACTCCAACCTTAGCCCTAACCCTAGTAAGGTTAGGGGTAGAGGTAGGGTTAGGGGTAGATGTAGAGTTAGAGGTAGGGAATTGCAGAAGTCTTGAATTCCCGCATTTCGGAAGTGCCGAAGTCCCAAATTACAGAAGTGCCGGAAGAAGCCAAAGTACCGAATTGTTGAAGTCCCAAATTTCAGAATGCTGAACCGAACCTAATTTTTTGCCCATGCACATCAGTATAGAACATAAGCTCAAACTTGCACAGCATATTCAAAGTGTGGTCTTACAAGAGATTTATAAAGAGACAAATTGTATTTTCATCCCAAGAATGAATGCCCCTATCTATACATGTCAATACCTTGATGGCCTTAGCCACTGCCGATTAACATTTAACATTAAGTGATTTAATTCCTAAATGGTAGAGAATTGAGCAGTTAGACTAAGGGGCATGATCTGTACACAAAGACCACTCCATAAGCTAAAATTGTATGGTACTTATAGTGGCCCTTTAAGGTTCCTCCTAGGTTGAGGAGAGTTAAATTGAAAATGTTGGGTGAAAGGACTATTGAGAACCCAAAATAAGAGATGGTGACGTCAGAGAGAAAATGTAGTGCTAGAGAAATTAAATACTATATAACTTAGTTAGTAGAGCTAGAAAAATACTTCTGTCTTTATTCTCAAACTTCCCCATTACTTAGGAGTGCTGCAATGTGCAATGTTTCCAGTGCCACAATGTGCAATGTCAATCGGCAGTTGCTAAGGCCATCAAGGTATTGTCATGTATAAACAGGGGCATTCATTCTCGGGATGAAAATATAATTTTGCCTCTGTATAAATTACTGGTAAAACCACATCTTGAATATGCTGTGCAAGTTTGGGCACCTGTTCTAAAGTAAACTAGAAAAAGTGCAGGGACAGGCAACAAAATTAAAAGTAATGAAACATTTTGGTTATAAAGCAGGTTAACAAATTTTAATTTCTTTAGTTTAGAAAAACAGCACTTCAATATATTCAGGGCTATTACAAACCATTGTCTGGAAATCTATTCATAAACAGAACTATACATAGGAAACAAGGTCATGCATTTAGACTGGAAGAAAGGAGATTTAGTCTTTTAAAAAATTGGGGTTGTTTGACATGGTAATTTTCCGGGAAATTCAATATTTATAGCTAAGTGTGCATGACTGAACAAAAGTGAGTGAGTATGTTGAAGTTTGTCATTCGTGTGTATGTATGTACAGGGGACAGCTGTTGAAGTGTTCATGTCATCTTGCCTTTCTATAAAAGGCCAGTTGCTTGATACTGAAGCAGTTACGAGGCTGCAAAGTCTACAGTGATAGCTGAGGTGAGAAACTAGCTTAAGGCAATCTATGGCAGACGTTTCTAACTGTAATACCGCATGAAGGCACGGACAGTAATACAGACACCAGACTTCGACAGAAGAAAAATACTTTAAAGAGACAAGAAAATATCAAAGACGCATGTGGTTTGGACAGATGAGAGTAGCAAGCTAGTGTTTGAGAGATCACAAAAGGAGATTTTTTTTTTTTTTATACTATACTATTTTTTTTTAGATGCTATACTATGACAAGCCAAGCGACAAAAGAAATAACTTACTAAGCTAGTGACTGAGGCTACTGACAGATAAATAACTTAATGAGCTCAATGAGATGATGATGAACAAAGTGAGCCTTCTGATTGTTTTACAAGAAAGGGGTATGTATGAATTTGATCAATATTTATAGAGGTAAGTGCAAGATGACATGTTAGTCACAACAGTTTGAGGAGAGTCTATTATTTTAAACATTTGTTTCAAGTAGAAGTAAGCAAGTGTTGCATGTTTTCTGGCTGTTCGATGGAGATTAAGAGAAATTGATGGTAACTATCCTAACTTCTGCAGTTTTTAATGTTGCAGGTTAGGGGAATGTTTTAGCATTAATCATTCTTGAACTATTACTTCATTACATAACAATAACACTTCATATGGCTTGACTAAGCAAAACAGCAACCAGCATATGACAGAGACCGCCACAGGTACTTATATGATCTGATGACCACTCTAAAACCATTAGACAGAAAGGCTACCCACAGCACCATCCGATTCATCCAATAGATAACACCTACAATAACATTTGTGTAAATTCTAGATTTCTGTGGGTTCTGTAAGTGAACCGTGAGAATAGCTATGGATGTATTTGTAGGAATGTGATAAAATGAAAGTATGGAAAACATGACATGATAGCAAAGCATATATATTAAAGATGTGGAATCGGTGAAGGAGTTTTCCACTATAACAGGTGAGTCTGTACTATCTTCAGCGGGACTGCAACAGAGGTAATTGTGTATTGAATTCACAAAGGAGTGACTAAAACAGCATACGTTTACTATTTAAATATGGGGATGGTTGCAGTATGACAGTGAATGTGTTATTTAGCATAGATGTGAATGCATTGCTTAATTTAATGTAAACATATGTAATGCAGCCTCTTTACTATAAAACGTGAGGGATATATAACAAGGTAAATACAGGTCTTAATTTAGGTCAAAGAGCTAAATAAGGAGCAATCACCATGGGAACCAATCAACGGTCACTCAACCTTTAGCACTTTGCACCTCAAGTATCTCCTGTTTAGCCTAGCTAAATCTATTCAATTGAGTTTTGTGTGTCTATATCTTACATCTTAATAAGCAAACAATTCTATATACTCACAATACTGTTGTTAAAAAATGTGTATTTTAAATGTCACAAATAGCAACACTTGCAAAAGAAGCTACTAAGCTACCGGTAGGTGTAAGGTAGCATTTTAGGATTAGGGTTGGCAACTATTGCAGGATACCTGACTCTGAACTGTGGACTATAACTACCAACATCCTCAAGTCAAGTGAAGACTGGCAAGAGTGATATGAGTTACAGACCAGAAAAGCTTGGAGGCAGGTACCAAATAAACTACAACACTGGATACACTAATACAGTTTAATGGTGATGTGTTTCATACAAACATTAAACGTATATGTTATTAGTATGTCACTGAATTTAAAGGATTACTGTACTCACTATAGCAACTTAAAAAAGCTATATTTTAATAATTAGAAGTCAAGCCTACTGGATGTCATCATGTTAGGAGAAGGATGCAATTGCGCCAAGGCAGACTTGGCGCTGGAAATAATATTAGTAAAAAAAAATTAAAAATGGTTTGGTTTCTTTTTATTTAAATTTTTTAATGCAACTGGGGAAAAAGGAGGGGGTGTGAGTCTGAAATTAACTAGGCAGAGTAAAACTATAGCATTAGGAATACAGATTACAGGAATACAGATCCTAGTCACAGTTTCCCTTTACGGTGCCTTTTTTTTGTCAACTTACATTTAAGCCAAGTAGAGCTTTTTTTTGTAGTGAAACTTTTAGACAATGCTCCCACATTTGCATCATGGAGTATGACAACATACTGAGATAGATTAGATGTTTACACAGTGTGCAAAACACTCATAACTACTACTAAGAGTTAGCATACATCTTAATGTATTATTGGAAAAATGGTTGTCATGTCTTTGTTCTAAAAACATACCAAGTGCAAATGGTTTAAAGTAGACATTGTAACAGTGAGAACAGATTGTGTATGATTCATATGAGTAGAAGAAGGGAGGATATATGAAGCATTACGACTACTAGGTCAATGATTAATTGTGTTTTAAGTACAAAGCTTTCTTCCACCATCTCCCAGAGAGTATCGAGACATTAGAAACAAATTAGGGAGTAAGCCCACAGAGGTTTTAAAACTAAAAGCAAATTAACAACTTGAAACATAGAACATACATTCTATTTATATGCCTCTGAGCAAGATACATTTTAGCCTAACACAGGTTATAGCTGTTTGTCCAGATTAAGCTGTTTTGTTTCAAGCTCTGGTTGAGAGCCATTCAGTGTCTGGCTTGCCTCAATTTGCTACTAATATTTTATGATCTCTAGGGAAGAGAGAGCCCAGTTCATTCAATAAAACAAAAACATTAAAAAAAACCCACTGCTAATATTACCCTTTGGTGAAGTGTATCCATTAGCATACTTCACATGCACCTAAGGTCATTCCCTAACAGATAAGTGCAGATGCTAGCAAGCAACTACTCGAAAACTACAGTATGTGATTGGAAATATGTTTTGAGAGATCTTTCAGGTATTTGTGTAGATACTTTCACACTCATCCAGATAGCAGAGTTTAAAGTGGAAACTACGAGTAAATACACAGAGGCAAATTCCATATACATAGCACTCATTGAATGGATTTCTAGAACTTGTTGATGAACTCAACAAGTTATCAGTACATCACAACTGCCAACTTTAGAATCTTGCATAGTATTTTATATACATATTGACTTCTCGTAGATAGCATTACAGAATAACCGATGAGATGTGTATTTCAGAATAAAAAATACTGCATCATTTTAATAAGTATTGTTCTCAGTGACTCATTTAGCCACATATAGTGCTAATGAATGTGGGTTTCGGAATTCCCCCCAATTTTCTCTTTTTAATAAAAAAATAAATAAAACAATTGTAGAGAAACAATTTTATAGTGTCATTTAGAAGGTCACCCCACAATTGTTCTTCATCCAGAACCACCATTGTTTAAGTGAAAAAAGGTTACAGGCATTTTAGAATCAACCAGTGATGGGTATATAATATATCCTGTATTTCATATTTACAGAAGCCAAAAAGATGCCTTTGCCAGCACTGTCTCTTCTCTATCTGCTAGTTGGAGTTCAGCTTGTAGAGTCAGTTGCAGAGGGTCTAGATCACTCCTCCAAGCTCACAGGTATGTTTAGCTAACTCAAAGCTTTCATTAATAAGTAAATGATATCATTAGAACCCTGTGTTCTCTTTAGTTCATTTATTGAACAGCACTCTCACAATGTATGTTACTGCTAACACGAACACTACATATCTGTACTATACTAAAACCGCATTCATAGTGAATGATGTGCAACACATATTTCTAATTCTTTTTCAATGACGCAGCAGAACAATATTTTCCTCAGCCTTTCAATGTGCAGATCATGTTTTCTGCTTTATGGTAGGGATAAGGGTCACATACAAAGAAGGTGCAAAATAAATCTAAAGATGAAAGGCTTTCATCAATGCGTTCCCCTATTCTCACCACCTTCTTTGTTTGACTTCTGTTATGCACACGGATATAAAATGGAGGCTGAGATCAGAGGGACCTTCCATATACCTTGTGCATGCATAGAGAAAAGCCATTGGCATCTACTGAACATTATGTAGGAAGATGTTAGCAAGGTCAGCTTAGTCACTCTCAGAGACTGATTGGATAGTGAGTGAAGATTCTGCAACAACTGTAGGAAAGAAGATCTTTTTCTGGAAGAGCCAAGTATACACACTGATCTAGGTTAGAGGTCAAATTATGTGGTCATATCAAAACAAGAAGACTTTATCATCACAGAAGTCTAACATTTCAATGACAAACCACAGAAACAATCTTCAAACTTTCAGGTGAACTTGATCGCCCTGAAGTTCCCCTTATTTAGCATGCTGAAAGATTGTCCAGAGTTGATCCTCCAAGATCCTCTTACAAGCTGAGATTTTATCCTTTTGGGGTTCAAGCTATATTCAATCAGCATTAGTGGTGTTTGAAATGCATATTTATATAGGCCCAACAGCTATGTTACCTTTGTAAAATAAGATGGAATATTAAGCATTGTTCCAGGCCTTAAGAAAATTATTGATGGCATAAAGTACGCATAGTAACGTGATGTAAATTTTCTTAAAAGACATGGAGATTAATATACTTACAGAGAAAGATATCGGCATGGGCAGATCAAGTATCCAAAAACCATACTGCAAAACCAGATGTTGCTGTAATCCATGCAATAATGTGTGGTTTGGGGGCCCTAATCAGAGGCAGAACAGGAATATTTGTCCCAGTCTGGCCAAGATTATTGGGAGCTACACTCTTGAGCAGCAGCTGCTGCCATTATAGCTGGAGCTGCCATACAGAACTGTAACTCCCACTAATCTCAGGTAGCACCGGGAGATACATGTGTTACAGTAAAGATCTCTCCTTAGCTTCTTCCCCATGTAACACTACTCATAAACTCCAATATTACTCGAACAAATTACAGCCTGAACAGTATTTCTCCACTACACTGACTCTTTCACTAGACATTAACCCCTGCACTAGACTAACCCTAAACAGTAACCCCTGCAGTATTCTAACAATAACCATTAACCCCTACAAGACCTTACCACTAACACTAACTAACCTAAAAATATCATGTCATGTAAATGATAATGCTGTTTCCCGGTTCTGGAGAGATTTAAAAGCCACTTGACCTTTGGTCTTGTGATTTATTATGTCTCCAAAAACCCTTAGTGGCATAATTTTCCCATAATATAGCGTTCACCATTATGTATAAATAAAAACATATATACAAACAACATGACCAAACCAACACAAATGTGTGGGTGACTACATACGTATGTTTGTGAAGGTGATCCCATGAGCACATCTGTGATGCATATTGCTGTGACTGCAAATGCTTTTGTAACATGTTTTTATATTACTGCTCATGTATGCTTTTTGCATTTGAGACTGCACGAAAGCACTTAAAGTGGCAGTCAAGGCTGTAGCTGAGTCCCATTCTGTTTTAATGCACTAATTTTGCAGGTTAATGGAACTCAATTTTGAAAAATTCCTTTGCCTAATAGCAAACACAATTATAACAAAATTTATTCCTGTAAAAAATGACCATCAAAAAATAATTTAGTTTCTGTTGAGAAACTCTCTTGATAAAGTCTTTATATGAATATGCTTTTACTAGCATCAGTAATATAAGGTATGAAAATATATATGTGGATGAGCAATGTCATGTGATTCTGTTACAGGTGAAAACAGCAGTCTAATGGCTGGTCGTAGCCAGTGGCTCAGGTCCTTGCCATGCCCAGACAAGATATCAGCCATATTTAAGAGGGATAAGACACCTGTACTTGCCCTTTTATGTCGGAGGAAAAAGTTCTATCCACCTAGTCAGCTGTGGTCAGAAGAATCTCCTGGGCCTAGCCGGGTAATTCCTGCACCTGAAGGCGCGTTGCTGGTTGAAAGAGAAAAGGATCTATCTACTTACAACTGGAACTCGTTCGGCCTCAGATACGGCAAAAGGCAAAATGGGGCATTAAATTCCAAAGTGAAAATCTGGTAGTGTTAAAGGAAGGGCTGGGAGGGTATGCCATTTATTCAAGGTGTTCTACAGTTTGATAAAGTTTATGATTTGATTTCCTGTGCTAAACTTACACAAACACTGTTTTTAAGTTAATGTGTAAGATGCCCTAAAATATGTTTGGTGCATTGCTGTGTCAGCAGAGCTATTACTAGACTTTTAACGTTAATAAAGTAAATTTCATCCTCTTTAATAAAAAAGTTAAACATAAAAAAAAAAGAATTTGAGTGGGTTAGTTAAGAAAAAAATGTCAATGATGTGTCGTGTGCTATTCATTTCACACTGTGCTAGAATATGTATGGACTTCAACTAGACACCTCTTGTCTTTTATGAATCATGTGGCTGAAATATTGGTAACTGGATGGGTGATCAAGCAAATAAATCAGTTTTTACCTTGGATGTTTCATATCTGTAGAGTTGCTCCTTAGAATGTTTGCCTAGCTTTGGCACACATTTAAATATCATGACCAAAATGTAGAGTAAAAAATATATAATTTAGAATTTGTCTATAAACTTTATAAGAGCTAAAAACCTTTGGTAGAGATGTACCCAAGCTTAGGGCACCTCCTTACAAGAAACCTTTGCTAGTTATTCGTATAAAGATAATAGCATATCTCCTAAGGAAGTATAATATACATTGAAGCACATATCAGTATTTTAATGCACACTATCTATACGGTGAGGTAGAGGCAAACAATGCCTACAAAATTCAAAGTTTAAACAAAGAAAATTAGACCTGTGCTGCAGATACTCCACACTGAAGTCCCAACAGTGTATATACAACCCAAAAAAAAAAAAAAAACAAGAGTCCTGCGCGTCCAGTATAGGTGTGCACACCCAGGTGCCACCACAATTTATGTGAGAACAAAGTTAAAGCAGCAAACGTTTCGGGCAGCAGCCCTTTCTCAATGTTACTGTCCTCTGTTTTCTAGTAGTATTTTATTGCATATAGAATATGCCAGCATTATAGGTTCTCCCCATTTAAGTATAAATAACACTGTGCCCCAGAAATCAAAACGATTTGAACACTGTCTGGAGATCATTTAATGCACTCTTAAACTAAAAATAATCATTACTTATTAGTGCCAAGAGGCACTAATGGACTTCATCCACAAAGTGACACAGGCACTAGAAGTGAACGGGGAGGGAGTCTCACCGCTAGGGACATTATCGCTGTCACTCGGGACATTGCTGCCATGACAACTATAATGGCACACTCTATGAAGCACCCCATGGCCGCTGTGGACAACTACAGGATTTCAGTCTTTGAAGACTTACCTTTTTCCATCTTACTAGAGAGATGCAAATTTATGCCTGTAACCAACACCCTGAGGGAGCAGGGCATTAGATACCGATGGGGAGCCTCAGGTACACTAGTGGTGCCATGAGGCAATTTATATCCTGTCGGCCATGGAGGATCAAGTAAAATTCCTGAAGAGTCTCCAGTTGCCACCTGTCCCTTCTGCACACAAACAGCACCCACACACACACAGAACCTACACACATACAGCACCCAAACAGCACCCACACACACACAGAACCTACACACATACAGCACCCACATACATACAGTACACTAACAGGACGCTAACAAACACACACACAGCACACTACCAGTACCCTCACACACAGCACACAGACAGCACCCTCACAAACACACACATAAACACCCTCACAGCACACTACTAGCACCCTCACACACACATCACACTAACAGCACCCTTACACACACAGCAGTGTGTGTGTGTATTTATATATATGTATGTATATACATACATACTTACATACATACATATACACACGGCGTGTGTTTGTGCTTTAGGGTGCACACCCTAATGCAATAGGCTGCACACACCTATGATTAATGTGTCACTGAGGTGTACTTATCTTCCTCACCTGTCTAGGCATAATATGAGTATTTTACTTTTATTTTCTTATAATTGTTCTACTATATTGTATAAAGCATAAGAAAACTTTGTGGCTTTGTCCACAACTAAATAAAGAATAAAAAATTATTTTAAAAAGGGAATTGGGGACACACCTGGAACATGGATTTTGCAGGAATGGTACTGCTGTAGTAACCAATGTTTTTACTTAACACAGATTAAGGAACAACACACACATAAAAATACATTTTAAAATTTTATAATGCTACTTAATATCACCTCTCTCAGCAAACAAATATGAAGATCCAGTTCCACCATAGGGCCATATTGTGTTAAAGGGATTCTCCAGTGCCAGAAAAACAAACCCGTTTTCCTGGCACTAGAGGATCCTGGAGTGCCCCATAACCCTTCAATCACTTACCTGAATCCAGGGCCGATGTCCCTCGGCACTGGGTCAGACTCCACGCACGCTCCTTCCTGCCGGGGGAGGCCTAATGAGCATACGCGGCAATGGCCGCATGCGTGCATTACATCTCACCATAGGAAAGCATTATTTAATGCTTTCCTATGGGGATTCCGGCGACACTGGAGGTCCTCAAGCATAGCGTGAGGACGTCCAGCGTCGTTTAGACGACCAAAAGTCGTCTAAGAAGCCGGAAGTCCCTTTAGTGGCTGTCTGGTAGACATCCATTAGAGGAGGATTTAATCCTGCAAGGTAAATATTGCAGTTTATAAAAACTGCAATAATTACTCTTGCAGGGTTAAGGGTGATGGGAGTTGCCACCTAGACCACTTCAATGAGCTGAAGTGGTGTGGGTGCCTACAGTGTCCCTTTAAGCTCACCACTACTTCACAGAACCCCAATATCAGTGGGTTCTACACCAATTCCAACGTGGGAGATAAATTAAATAGTGCCAGTGCTAAATAGGCAAAAGTGTACTTTAATAATCTGTTGTAAGAGCTTTGTGAACATATATAATGCAAAATTAATGTGATAATCGCAAATAAAAAAAATGTAGTGTCAAAACAAAACAATTAAACTGATAGTCATTTGATGTATATTCACAATGCATATCATATATCTGCTCTATAAAAATTACAATAAAAGTGCCATTACTATCCAAAAACCTCCTCAATTTTATACCTTCCTGTGGTCACCACTACACCACTGGCACACTTTCTCCAATCATATTTTAACACCACTTTCATTCATCAAATGTACTAAACTTGAAAGAGATAGTGTTGATTCAACATTTGTTGCTTGAACATTGACATATTTAAAACATCACTAAGGCACCAATATGTTTCTTGCATTGTTAGGATAAAGTTAGTCAACACGGTCTGAAGTGAGATCTACTTTAGTTATTAAAAACATAGTGTTGCTCCACAAGAACACCTTTTCTGCCCTTTCCTCACTAATGAACAGCAAGGGTTTCAGGCAGTTGTACTTCAGCTGTTTTCTAACTGAGAACTACAAACTCCCACTAGGTTACAAATCTACCCATGCAACATTGCAAGGTTTAAGCAATGTCATAATTGACCACGTAATTTCATTGTCTGGGAAAATCTTACTGCCAAAGCAAAAAGCCTGGGGATTTATGATAAATACAGATATATTTACTGTATTATGTATACAACACCAATCTCTTCATAGGCATTTCAGTGCAATTATTAGCTTAAATTTCAATTTCTAGTTCTATATTGGTATAAAATAAATGACAAAGCACTTCCAGTGTACAGCTGGGAGAAAGGGTCTATATAAGTCATCCAATTTAGAGTTACTACTCTTGTTAATGATAACAAATAGTCATTATTCATGTACTCTAGCCAATGTCACATCATTGTCTTCTCACTTTGATGTTGGCAATCAGAAACCAGACCTCTTGTGGAAGGTAGAGACAAAGCAGCATTCAACTTGATATTGCAACTCCACATCTGTTCCTTTTGTGAATCTACTGGACACAGGTGATGGCAGGCTCTCTGAGACATGACAAGGGATACCAAAAGATATTGGAAATTTCCTTTGTAAGCTTGACATACTAATTAAAATACCCATACACCCCGTCTCTAGCTTTGACAAGCACTGTATTATACCACTTATAAATAATACAAGTATTTGTACAAATTAATTGTACATATAAATGTTTGGAACAAGGTATAATAGAGATTTGTATCTACTCTTAGAATCCTAGAAGTGACTTTAAAAGATCACTCCAAGCACCATAACTACTACAGCCCCTGTAGTGTTTGTGGTACTAGGAGTGCACTGGTGCACTTCCAGGGTAAGTAGTAAAACCATTTAGGAATGATTTGACAACTTACCTGGTGACTGTTAGGCATCTACTGACCCCTTCCCTGGAGCAAGAAGCTCCTGCTATGAGCTTTGGTTAGCTCCCCTGATCTAGCCCCTCAGCTAGGCAATCTCCTATTCAGTCGTGGACCACATAATTCCTTAGCAAAACTACAGTTTAAATAGGTATTAAAATTCCTTGATAATATAAATAAACCACAGCAGCCTCTGCCCAACATTACGTCAGCTTAAAGGACCACTCTAGGCACCCAGACCACTTCAGCTTAATGAAGTGGTCTGGGTGCCAGGTCCTTCTAGGGTTAACCCATTTTTTTCATAATTATAGCAGTTTCAGAGAAACTGCTATAATTATGAATGGGTTAAGCCTTCCCCCTAATCCTCTAGTGGCTGTCTCATTGGCAGCCACTAGAGGCGCTTGCGTGCTTCTCACTGTGAAAATCACAGTGAGAGCACGCCAGCGTCCATAGGAAAGCATTGTAAATGCTTTCCTATGAGACCGGCTGAATGCGCGCGCAGCTCTTGCCGCGCGTGCGCATTCAGCCGGCGGGGCGTAACGGAGGCGGAGAGGAGGAGGAGAGCTCTCCGCCCAGCGCTGGAAAAAGGTAAGTTTTTACCCCTTTCCCCTTCCAGAGCCGGGCGGGAGGGGGTCCCTGAGGGTGGGGGCACCCTCAGGGCACTATAGTGCCAGGAAAACGAGTATGTTTTCCTGGCACTATAGTGGTCCTTTAACACAAAAAGACCAAACCAGGGTCCGTGAGGAGAGAGAAAACACAGTAATGCTACGTGTGTCTCCCTCACTGAGCCTGTGCACCAATGAGACACTCCAGGGGTCTCTCAGGGCTTAACCCTAAATGTACAAGACAAAGTTAAAAAAAGGATACTATTCACCGAAATGAAAATAGTGCACTACCTGGAAATACCAATATCAATTAAATGTTACAA